CCCCAAAACCCCAAAACCCCAAAACCCCATAAAAGATAGCAAGGATTGGATTCAGTGAATTAAATAAAAGTACGCAAAACCTTCTGAAGAAGAATGGAATGTCCTATATGATTGAATGACTGGTCTATGACCCTTGTGCCACTGTAAGTCACTTCACAGAGCACAAAACTTGGTTTCTCTTAAGAAATTTTAGGCTAAGAGAAGAATTAAAATTTAGAAAAAATCAATAGGATTTAGTCAGAAAGCTGGTTATCTTGAGTTAGAGTTTTCTCCAGGACAAATTAAGAGGAGTATTTATCATGCCTAATTCATATTGCAACTAATAGTTTGTATCATCCCGATGATTTCACTTTCAGATCTTTTATCAAAATTACAAGGAATTCCAATTAGTCATTTAGCTCAGTACGGTCGTTCAATACGTCTGATCAAGATGTTGGTTTTTGTCAGAACTTAAAATATTTTGCTAATTCTTTTACAGAGCATTAAGCTGAGGACACAGTTATTGCAAAGAATGTATTCACAAGCTAAATAAAGAAGGCCTTGTCACCTGCTGCATTTGTAAAGAGGCGGACACCTTCACCTCCCTCTCAGATCTAGAGATAAACCTTTCCTTTTTAAAGAGAAAGCATTATTTAAAAGAGAACCCGGACTCTGATAGTCTATCTAAGAAATTAAATCTTGAGATTTTTAAGGTAAATTTTTTAAATGTACTAACCATGCTTTAGGACTACAGGTGTCCATCCCACAACGCTCCAGTGCATTCTTACAACCCAGATACTATGGAGATCTTCTGTTGTTATTGTGAACTTGGAAGCAAGACTCCTGAAAGAATCCAGAGAATCCCAAAGGTCCTTCATCAACTAATAACCAGTGTTGATTCCCAGAAGCTTAAGAAGAAGCATGCTTTGCTTCAGATCAAGTATCTCGAGAATGAAGTTAAGGCCCAACTCGACCAAGTCAAGGAAGATAATCTAGCCAAGGTAGACACTCATTTTGATAAGCTGAAGGCATTCATTGAGTTGAAAAGAGATGAAGTAAAGCGAGAGTATTCTACTAAATTTGAGAAATATGCCAAAACACTTGGTGAATACTTTAACCATTCTCAAGCAACAAAGAAGCATATCTTTGTGATTGATTATTTGATGGATGAGGAAGAGAATGGCAAGATCACTGATTACTGTGAAAGCTGTACAGAGGTTTGTAATTTTGAGAATGAGATCAACCCGAGAATGATTAAGGTACCTACAGAGGCTCTCACATTTGATCCTGTCGAGTCTCTGAATGATCTTTCTGAAAGATTGAACAATTTTGTAACTTTCAAAACTTCACTTGTTCCTCATAAATTTGAAGTAAATACTGACTTGCTTGATATCACCAAGTTTTGGTATTGCCATCACTGTGAGACTCAGAACAGTTCTGTAGAGAATAAACTCTCTTGCTCAGCATGTCTGACACCCAGACCCATCGAATGCTATGAATCATTCTTCAAGAACTACATGTATGCCACAGAAGGGGACATCAGAATTCTTGAAGAAAGGCAAAAATCTGAAAATGACCTGATTTGCGCCTTAAATGAACCATCTCCAAAAGACAGAACTTATTACGTAATGAGTGAATCTTGGGTCTCTCTTTGGGAGTATTATATCAAGCAGCGGTCTAAAAGTTATAATTTACAGACTAAAGATGATACCAAGCTGGTTGACTATATCTCTCACCCTGGGCAGATCAATAACCAAGGCTTACTCAAGAAACCGACTGAGGGGCAAGTTCATAACTCTAGTGAGTACAGAATCGTTAACCCCAGAGTTTGGAATGCCTTCTTCCAGATTTATGGGGGTGGACCGAAGATTCATAGAAGGGAGAAGAAAATTAACTCTGAAGAAGTTCTATATGACCCTTATGAGAGTGAGTTCAAGGCTAAAATTGAAAGAATTAAAAGTAAAAATGCTATAAAGAAAAAATACAGACAAAAGCCAGCCCTTCCAAAAAAACCAAAGACTGGGTAAGTATATTTTGATGCTGAATTTATTGATTTTTGGCTAAAATTGACTAAATCTATAGAATCAGCGGTAGAGTGAGACAAGTTTCATCAAGTATTTCTGAGAAATACAATATACAAAGGTAAGGTTTGTCCATTTACATTAATGTTTAAACCTATTCCATAGATCATATCCTCGTAAGATACCCTCTATGAATGTGGAGTGGCACGGGTTGTATAATAAAGATGAAAAGCATGCTTAATTGTCGATCAAAAGTTCTGAAATAATTTGTAAAGCTTCATATTTATCAAGTTATATTAATCCTCCAATAAATTAACAGGTATAGGGGTTTTGGGGTTTTGGGGTTTTGGGG